TAGAAGATCTGATAAAAGCATAATAAGGAATGTTAGAAAATGGCTTTCATTGGTGGAACGGGGCGTGGAGATGGGTGGGAGGTCTGGGAGATGGTACAGGCTATACCACTGTTGGATGAGTAAGCTCTGAGAAGGGCCGAAGGACGACGTGGCTTCTCTGAGCCACAAGAACAGGGTAGAGACTAATCGTGTGTATGTGTGTGTATCTTCTTCCTAAGAAATGTTTGCACATTTGGTAGAATCTGGTTAACTGCTTGTGCCTTCATTTACTCAGTGGTAAGGTTATAGCTGAGAGAATACACAGCCCCTATCGCTCATCTCTAGAAGCTGTCAATGTCTACAAACAACACAAACAAGCATACAAACACTTAACTGTTGCTGCCACCAAGCCATACATCAATAGGTACAGAGTCTTTGCTCTGAAGGAAGGTACTTGCGAAAGAGAAAATAATCCTTTCCCAACCCCTGCCCACCACTTCTACAAGCCTGTGGTGGTAGGAGGGGAAGACTTCATTAAAAATGAAGAAGACATGTTTTAATAAGCAGAATGAGATTTTAGTGACTAAAAAGGGCTGACAGTTATGAAAAATGACTGAGAAAAAGTGATAAGGGAACCTACTCCCCAGCAGCAAAGGGGGTTTTGAACAAGCATGGTTGGTTGCAGTTACTGACAAAGGTAAACTCTTCCATATTATACTTCAATCGATGGACACATCTCAAACTGGTTAAATACGCAAATACGGGCTCATATATGCATTTTTTCCACTGCAGACACAGGCATTAAACTCACAGTGGAGCAGTGGTTATGTTAGGAAGAGAGACACAGAGGTCAGAGGTTGCTATCATCTAATACCTTTTCTGACTTTTTCTCCCCAGTGTCAACAGTGGTATCTGGGTGGTTATGGGCCTTTTTTTTCCTACTTCAGTATCACATACACAGCTCCACCCCCCCCAATATTTTTAAAGAACTTAAAAGTATTTACTAAGAAAAATTCTATTTTTTTTTCATGTCAGAACTGGCAGGTCAGTAATGTTGAAACCTTAAGAAAATAAAATGTCTACTAGATATAAACTCAACTATTATCGTAAACAGAATGGACATCTCAGAGTTTTGATAAGAATTTATTACCAAGTTTTAATATAAATGAATCAAATTGTATAGAATTTACAGAATTCTATTGAAAAGAAAAAGCACTTTTGATTTACTTTTGTAAAGGGTATTGAAAAAGCTATTCAAAAAGGGAAAGGACTGTCAATTTTTAAACAAACACTGCTCTATGGAAGTTACTGAAAATAATTATTGCATTAGCTCCAATGATGTTCTCACCTAAATACAATGTGCTTGAACCACTGAATTAGAAAACACCACTCCTTTACTTGCCAACTTTATGACCTGCGTTACCACTAGGTGGCGATACATAATTAGCATACCAATCATTTTGCCACCAAACTCATTTGCATCTGGAAAGCTCAAAGTAGATAGCAAGTACCTTTCAAATACTCAAAAATATTGTTCAGTGCATCTCATTAAGATAGTACTTAAGAAAGGAAGTATTTCATTTTTTTCCTTCTGGACTTGAATTCAAATCATTAAGACTGTTGGATCTAACTGGATCCAATTACTAAAGGTAGGACTTGCAGCTGCATGTTTTACGTGCTATATTCTTAAGATAAAATGAAGAAATAACAGCATTTATGAAACATAATGGTCATTTTATGTGTTTTCAGAAACTCTCAAACCTAGAAGCACATCACTGCAGCTCCATTTATTTGTTTTGCTATGTTGATATTAATAGCAACTGATCTTTAGAAGAGACAAGTCACTGAAATGTCACTGAAGGAAGAATAAAGATATAAAAACAGGATAATTCTGTTTCACTCCTAGCAATATTTCCCCAGGGCGTTACTGGGGAGAGTTTTTGCCTTTTATTATCAAAAAGAAGTCCTTTTCTTACTCCTGACACAACAAAAGAGAGAGGGTATACACTTTCTGACCAGAAAGCCTGAGTTCTTCATCACTCTAAGTACTGGCCCCAAAGCAAAATATATGTGAGGTTAGTCACTTAATTGGGCACAAAACAGGCAATGCTCTTTATTCGTGTAGTGGCACCAACTATCTATGCGTAGAAGGAAGGGAGAAAACAGACAGTATAAATCAAGCAGTACAAAGAACTAGTGCTATTCATTATCCTCCCTGCCACCTGCCTCAGCCAACTGCAGGACAATCTGAGCAGAAACACACACACACACACTCACTCACTCTCTCCCCCACTCTCTCTCACACTCACACTCCTTCTGGGGCATCAGAGACCCTTTCCAAGAAAAGTGTAAATGTTCTCTTCATGCTGAATACAACTTGGGGGTTTTAAATATATCTCTGGAAGCCCTAAAATTCTCAAAATTCCAAAGTTAAGAATCCTTACCTTAGGGAAACTCTGATTTCTTTGGATTTCAGTTTCTTTGTCTAAGGATTAGACTTTCCTTGATCACAAAGGCCCTTTTGGTTTCTATAACTAAACATTATTATTCTTAAAGACCACTATATTAAGAAAATCCAGGAAAGGGACGCTGAAATATGATGTTGGCAGTGGATACCATACAGAGACTTTGAGTGTCTGTGACATCTCAAAATGGCTGTGTGATATGAGGAAGAAGGTTAGGTAAAAAAGTAAGATAAATAAGTAGGTTTATTAAATAAATCATGACATCAAGTATTTTTGGATTTCCTGAAATTGAATTGAAAAGACTTAGAGATTCTTCCCCTAAAAGGGAGGAGATGTGAAAGTAATTTACAAATAATTCTTTTTTTCTGTTCTTCCATGAACTCCAGAAATCTAAGAAATCAAAGATGCCCCAAAACATACACCACAAGAGAAATGCAAATTAAAACAATAAGATACCAGTACATAACTATTAAAATGGCCAAAATCTGGAACACTGACAGTACCAAATGCTGATAAGGATGTGGAGCAACAGGAATTCTCATTCATTGCTGGTGGGAATGCAAAGTGGTACAGCCACTTTGGAAGACTGTAACTTTCTTACAAAACTAAACATACTTTTACCATATGATCCAGCAATCATGCTCTTTGGTATTTATCCAAAAGAGCTAGAAATTTATTTCCACATAAAAACCTGCACATGGATGTTCATAACAGCTTTGCTTACAATTGCCAAATCTTGAAAGAAACTAAAGTGTCCTTCAGCAGGTGAATGAATAAATCAACTGTGGATAGATCCAGACAATGGAATATTATTCAGCATTAAAGAATGAGCTATCAAGCCATGAAAATACACGGAGGAATCTAAACGCATTTTACTAAGTGAAAGAAATCAATCTGAAAAGGCTACATACTATACAATTCCAACACTGTGACACTCTGGAAAAGGCAAAACCATGGAGACAGGCCTTTTTAAAAAGATCGATAGTTGCCGGGGTTAGGAAGGAGACAAGAGGAATTAATAGGCAGAGCCCAGAGAATTTTTAGGGCAGTGAAACTACTCTGTATGATACTATAATGATGGATGGATGTCATTATACATTTATCCAAACCCACAAAATGTACAACACCAAGAGTAAACTCTGTAGGCTGGGTGATTATGATGTGTCAATGTAGGTTCATTGATTGTAATCAGAGGACTGCCTGGTAGAAGATGCTGATAACAGGGGAGGCTATGAGTGTGTGGGGTAGGGGGGTGTTTGGGAAATACACCCATATCTGTGCCTTCCTCTCAGTTTTGCTGTGAATTGAAAACTGCTCTAAAAAGTCAAGTCTACTAAACAACGAAACAAAAAAACCCTTTGCTGGAATTGTAACTCTGCTTGTTAGCATAGTCAGTGGGAGCCTAAGCACTGCATGCAGAGCTGCATGGCAGCAGACTTCTTAGCACAATTCTGAAAGAGTGTTCAATAAACTCCAGTAAAGTAATAAATGTAGTTTATGAGTGCAAAAGTTTAGTAATCTTCATGAGTCACAAGCTTCTAGTGAGTTGCCCTGATTTATATTAAAAATGAAAACCTGGATTTGCATGTCACTTGCCCATAAGAAAAGCAGTTTTGAATCTGCTTGTGTTCCCTCAGGAGGCCTCTCCCAGCCCACTGCCTGCCGTGAACCACACTTCTTTGAATTACTGATCTTGCATAGCACCCCGGATTAGTAATCATATGATCAGGCTTTTGATCTCATTTTTGTTACTGAACTGATGTTTGATCTGGAACGTGTCAGTGTCACTATATCTTGCAATAAAATAGGGATTATAATGGTTGTTCCTTAACTACATCACAGGAATAATTTAAAACAAATGCCAGTACTAAGATTTACTGCTGAGAGAGAGGTAAATTCACTAAAATGTTCTTTTGCTAACACACAAAGAGTTAAAGCCTCATGACATAGATAATAATTCTCAGAAAGAAACATGATTACCGGGTGATGCAGTCTTCTGCCTGCTTCTCATTGTTCATCTTGTGGTACACCACAGCAGCCACTGCCAGGGGGCCTGCGTCCCCGCAGAGGAAGGTGATGGACCGCTTGCTCAAACAGTTGAGACTTTGCTTTACGTAGCCATGTGCCATCTGTAGGTAGGCAGGGTCCCCAAACACATCATAGAGCTGTAGGTAAAGCACAGCAATACCTGGAAAGCAAAAAGAAAATCACGTACAGATGAGGAGAGGGCATTTGATTGTATTTTTTGTGTGTGTTGCCGACCCAGCAGTGTTGATTTTTGATAAGCTATAATAAACATGTAAATTATGTGGCAGTTCAGATGACCTTAGTTCTTGACTCAGCTTTATTACTAAATAGCTCTAAGAACCAGCAGGCAACCACTTGTTCCCAGTTTCCTTACCATTACAACTCTAAATCAAAATAGGAACTGTAAGAACTCTAAACCCAAGTTTAATATTAATCCTTCCTGCACTCTGGCTATTGTGTTAATGTATTCTTTTTGATGGTTAAATGATAGGCCATAAACCTGTGGTTCCAAATAAATCGCCACATATTTATTTAACAAATAATAATTAATTTAATAAACAAGAAATGTTTGTTCTTGTGAGCTAAAGAAATTTACAGACTAGGGAAGGAAAAACTCATTTTCTTTGTATAGAAGATAATTTCTTCCATGACAAGACAGAGTAACCAAGTCCCCTACCCAGTATTGTTCCAGGCAGGGATTATAAGAAAAGTACTAAGTTATCTGAGATCTGAGAAAATGAATTCAATTCCTCTTTAATTTTTTTTTTCTCACTGTCAAGGACCCAGCCACTTTAGGAACTGTGCTGTAGAAGCTGCCAAAAACTTCTGCTTTGGGCCTTACTTGACTTGCTTCTTATCCTGCTCTTAAAGCTGGCTATACGTAATTGAGGCCTTGTCTGCACGTCTTCGTTCCAAATGCCTGTCACAGTAGATGGATCCTTTCCTCTGAAGCCGACTGGTCTCAGGGCAGACTCAAAGATGTGGGGTAGGGAGCCTGCCTGCCTGCAGCATCTCCAGAAACTCATTTCTCCTCTTAAAGTACATTTTCCATCTCATTTACCATTTTTAGAAGATACAGAGTCTCTGTTTAAATCTAAATTAATAGAGCCAATCTCTTCATGGATTTCAATGCAGTAAAAATGCAGTTTGCAAAATTACTTTTCACTGTACTGAGGACAATTTTAAATTTAGATAGTTTTCTCATTTTGCATGGGTAATCTCCAAAGCTTTGTGCTACAGACAATTCAATTTCACATGTATATTAAGGCCAAATTTTCATTTCCTGCCAAAGTTAATAACCTTGTCTGCTCTTTCAAAGTGGCTTGGTGTTAGTAATTCCACAAGCTGCTGATCAGATGTACCAGTGCTTAAGGTTTGTAGACATAAGTGTACAAAACCATGTATGTGGGTAAGAAAAAAAAATTCTCCTTTTCACAAATGATCAATTTCAAGAGCTTCTTCTAGAATTAGGTCCTTAATAGGCTTCATCTCCATCCACAGCAGGCATCTGCAGGCAACCCGTTTAAATTGTTACCCTTTCATTTTGTCCTCCTGTTCCCATTGCTGCCAGAACTTTCCTAATTAAGTTATGTAGGCACTGAAGCCAGATAATGACATGACTGAGACCTGAGAAAATAAAAAGTGATTAAATACAAACCCAATGATTGTCTTCCTTTTCAGACCTTTGTCTCTCATTATCAAGAATTCCTCTTGGCCTAAATATTTACTAAACAAAACCCATTAAGGTGTGAAATTGTAAGGTCTGATGCATTTCTCATGAAAAACACAGTCATTTCTCAAAGTCTCACAATATTTCATTTATATGAAAAGTGGTTTTTTTTTTCTTTTCGATCACCAGAGAATTGGCTCCCCATGACCTCAGTTCTATTTCTCTCATCCTTCAATTCTGGCCCTCTATGTCTGCGTATTTTGATTAAGCAAACCTTCTGCTGTTTGCAGTTTACAGTGCCTACCTTCCTCCCTGCTGCAAGACAGCCAAGGGTGAAAAGAGTTTCAAGTGAGGGCTATTGCCAATTAGAAAAATGTTCTGGACAAGCTTACTATGAATCAGTCTAGGTCAGGAAAATAAGACAAAATGCAGTAAGTCAAAGACATTTAATGCCTCATCAATATTTT